AAGCGCGGAAATGTTTTGATGGTATATTTACATTCATATGACTGTTGTTCACTAATACATTTTTTTATAGATAGTTCTATTGTTTTTTCTTTATATTGGCAGGTCAAAAATATAGAAGTGTGAACATTAAGTTTGTTAATAGAGAGTTTTAGATATGTTTAGGTTCATTAAAACGTAAATGAACCTTAAAAGATCATACTCAACAAAGACTGGAAACTATGTATTTGTATTTATTTGATGTTTTCTGTTAAAAGAACAAGATAATATTAAATAGAAGGTTAAATTTGATATAGATAATTTTAATTATTAATAACTAAATTGTAGAATAAGGAATTATAATGATATGTGTATGAAATTATGAAAAACAATTTGGGCTTGAAGCAAAATATTTGGACTTTAGCATAAATAGTTTGATTCTTCTAAGATGAAAAAAGTAGGGAAATTTCCAGAAATAACACTTTCAAGATACCACTTTTCAACTTTACACTAACCAACTTTACCATTAAAATTTTAATAGTCAAAATACTATTAGAATTTAGGGTTTAGCGTTTTGGGTTTAGGATTGATAGTTTAAGGTTTAGTGTTGATTTTTTAGGGTCTAGAGTTTACTTTTTAGGGTTTATAGTTTAGGGTTTAAGGTTTAGAATTGATATTTTAGGGTTTAGGGTTGATTTTTAGAGTTTAGGGTTTACTTTTTAGGGCATAGAGTTTAGAATTGATGTTTAGGGTTTATGGTTAATATTTTATTTAATATTTGTTTTATGTATATATATAAAGAACAAGGATATAAGAGTCTTTTATCCTTTAAGAAAATGTGTATTTTTGAAAATGTTCCTTTGTTGATGGTAAACATGAAAAGTGGTACCACCAAAGTGGTATAATTGAAATTCTCCCAAAAAAGTATAGATACAATGGCAATATTGGGCTGAATTATATATGTTTTTAGTCCATTCTCGTGATTGATTATCATTTTTTAGAAATGAATTTGTTATAATATGTCTAGATTTATTTTTATTTTCAATATTTTATAAATTCAATATATATAAATGGTAAAAACACAATTTGAGAATTTATATGATTTCAAAATGTTAAACAATTAGTTACGCTTTTTTCCTAAAGATATTCATGTCATAACATGGATAAACTAAACTTAAGACCTTAAAAAAGGAAAAAAAACATAAAATGCTATGCCTAAACGAATTTATTATCCACATATATTATGATGATTAGATAGAAATAAAGATTGATCACACATAATATAAAATGAGAGTAGAACAATTAAAACAGAAAACCAAATTTTATAACATAATATTAAGTTAAAAATGATGTATAATTATACATTACCAGAAAACAAAGCAACATTACATCTGAAATTTTAAGAAACATTTAAAATGCCAAAGTTTGATATTTTAGAAGAGAGATCAATCACACAACCAAAACTCACCCAACTTGCATCAATCGCGGTTTGGCACTTTCACCTCAGCCATCCTTTCTTGTGCATGATCAGCTCTTTTTCAAGCCTCTCTTTCTCCTTAACCGGGTCAAAGACCTTCTCCACTTTGTTAAGTACCTCGATCTTCGCATATAGTTTTCTACCTCTATCTTCTCCACATGTTTTTCCTTAACACCTTCATAGCGCTCCTTAACACCTTCAATGCTTTTTGGTTTCCTGTTTGCCTTCTTTGAAACCAAACTGAAAAGAAGAGTCATATTCTTCAACCACCGGATCCTTCATCTTTATATCTCTGCTAGTTACCATGGAGAGTGGATGTTGCATGTTTGAAGATTTTAAAATATTGGTTACAATGAAAATTGAGATGAACTTTAAAATAATTATAACCTAAAACAATTTAAAACGATCAACATGATTAACTAATCTTAGACAACATTCCAGATCAAAATTATGAAAAGAAAAATATTTAAAATGGAAAATAAGATGTAGATGAATAACTTAACCAAAGATATTTTGCTACATGTTCAAAGAAAAAAAGTTATGGTTAACATACAAAATGAACATCTATATGTAACAAATATAATCAGCCAAAAATTATGTAAGAATCAACAATACAATAACATCTAATTATAATCATGATCTAGAACAATTATCAACATGCAAAATTAAAATTAGACTATATTCCAAATCTAAACTATGACTATCAACTAATTTAATAAGATAAAGTAGAGAAAGAAGAAAACTTATTAAGAGGTATTTGGAGAGACAATGCTTGGAGATGTTGGAAGTTATTAGGGTTTTTGACAAAGTGAGGAAGGAGGACATATATAGGAAAAAAGAGTAACCGAAGGATTTTATTTAGTGGAGATATGATCACTCTTTATTGGTAAATAAAACAAAATTCTAAAATTTGATTTTTAAAAAAAATTCATGATTATTAATCAGCAGCCCCTGCAAAAAATAAAATACCAAATCATAAATTATATATGTTTTAAAGTAAAAAATCAAAACTATATAAAGCCATTGTTAAATACACACCAAATCATTAAATGTTGCTATTATTGTACTTTTTGTTAGAAAAACACTATTATAACCTTTAAATATATCAAAATATCATAAATTAATTTGTGTAATCAATACATTATAATACAGATCATAATTATAAAGCTTGATAACTTATAACCTAAATATAATTTCAAAATTTAAATTTTATTTCAATCACTTCACAAGGTGGTATTGTCATCTCACAAATATCATCATTACAAACATAGAAAGCCTGAATAGCTTGTTAAATACGATATGCATAAAATCAAAATAATAAATAAATCATTAAAAATAATTTATTTATCTAATATATTAATATCTAAAGTCCTATTTTATGAACTGATTTTTGGACTATTAATAAATTTGTAATTTGTTAGATAACTGATTTTTGGACTAAAATAGATACAACTAATTAATTTACATTATTTAATGTCTGGTATTGATACACAACATAATAATTAAGAGAATATTTGACAAACTGTGTCTAATATACTCATATAAAACAAACTTTGAAATCTTTATAATTTTTTTTTTATATAAAACTCTTTTTCTACAAACATAAATAGGAATCTGTAGGAAAACTATCTCATTAATATTTTCACAGATCATCAACACCCAATATTTCGCCGTTTTTTACCTCCAACATTCCCACAGCTGATAAGGAAGTGTTGTTAAAGATTTGGAGGCAACACCGGAAACAGTCTTGTAAGGCTCTTTGCCAATACTGCTGCGGAGGTAACTTACTTTAATAGCATTCTTTTCACAGTTGCTTAGATTAGTGTTGGTTGAAAACTATATATATATATATATATATATATATATATATATATACACTAAAATTAACATTTTTCCTTTTTAAATAAAAGATAGAAAAGAAGATAAAGTATTGATATGTTTGTAGTTGAATAATCATACCAAGCATACAATCTATTATATTTTGTAAATAATTTTTGTTATTTGTTAGATTTTGGAAAAAAGTAAACTAAAAATATTAAGCAAAAAATATGAATTTATTATGACAAAGTATTGTATTTTTACTTACTTAAATATCTCATCTTATGTTATCTTAATTATGTAACTATATGTAATAGTACTTCATTAAAGCTGTTATTGTATGTTAATTTTTCTTCTTTAGTTTATTAAAAATATTGTTTAATAAAAGACTTATTTTTAGTAATTTCTAATTTTTTTATTATCTATTATGTTCTTTGAGATTGTTTCAAGGGATAATTTTACTTTTACCTTTCATTTGGTATCATTATTCATTTTTACATTTTTAGATGGACATCTTAAAAAATAGTACCTAACTATAAGACTTCGTTAAATATACAAAAAACATTTATACTCTTGATTTATAAATATAAGTAATTATTTAAATAAATATAAAAAATTAAAAATTAAAAAATATAAGATATTTTTAAAAAATCAGAATTATAACTTTTAACTTCGAAAATTTTATTTTATTTTTTATTTTTTTGAAATTATTTTATTTTTCCAGATATTATTTTCAAATTCGAAAATACTTTTTGAAACTATGTTTATATATTTATCTTAATTATTTATGTACATTTTTATTAAAATTCTAAACCTTACACTTTAAGATCCTCCCCCCCCCTCTCAAATCTAGACAAAAAATTATATGACTAATTAACTTTCTTTCTTACAATCAATGGTAAATGAGGTTAAGGTAAAGTTGAAAATGGTACTAAGAAAATGCTAGTTACATATATACAGTATGATATTCACTCCGTTTCATTTTAAATGTCATCGTTAATTTTATAATCTATTTTATTATAAGTGTCGTTTTATTTTTCAACTCATATATTTGATGGATTTTTCACTTTTATCAATATCTTTCAGCTCATTAATTAATATTATAAAATAAAATAATATATTAAGTAGGGGCATAATAGAAAATTTAATATTTTTTTAGTATATGTGAAAAAATCTTATACTACATATAATATGATACACATATAATTGTCATCTATTTTTTATAGTTTGTAATAACATAATTAATCAGGATTTAAAATATTTGCCCTTCGTTCTTGTCTTTAACCTTTTCTACGTTTTAATTATTAACTTTTTGAAATTTTTTATTATTAACTTGTAAACCCATAAATATAATTTTCTTATATCCCAGAAATTTTCAGGGCCACCTGCTGAGAGTGAAATGTGGAAAGAGGAGAAGTGAGCTAAAGTCTGACGTTATTTACATGGGAGCTTCAAACACTCCGAAAATGTCTACATTCCCTTGAGAAACTGTCCTCTCTCTCTTTTATTTTTTAACCGATCTCCTACTTTCTAGGATCATTATTCACATTCAACCTAATCTTCATCAAGTGATTTTTTTCTTCCTAGTCGGTTTGGAGAAAAAAAGAACTAAATGAGCATACTAACGGATCAAGTCGTAGGAGAAGGAATCGAAGAGGGATGCATCTATGAGGATAGATCAGTGGATGCTTCTTGAACTTATCCTTCTCCTCGGCTTTTCTCAGATGGAATGGCAGATCCTTCTAGCTATGTCAATCACGACCGTGACGTCGACCAAGTTTGTTCTTTACATCTTGTTTTTTTTTTTTTCCTTACAAAACCTTCTTCTGAATGATTTTCTTGATCTTCTAACAGTAAAATAGACATGAATCAGATGTTGAGGTGGTTTCAGATTTCTATAACAAAAAAAAAAGAAAATGATAATAGTTATGGTTAACATCATATGACCCTTGTTTTTATTTTTGCTTGTAGGCACTCATTGCTTTGAAAAAAGGTTGTCAATTACTTAAGTATAGTCGGAAAGGGAGGCCTAAGTTTCGCTCTTTCAGGCTTTCGCGGGTATTTCTACCTTCTTTCATATATATATATATATACATATAACTGAATTGTGTATAGACATTCGTATACTCTTCTTCAATCTGCTATACAATATATGCTCAACGTGCTGTTTTTTTTGATAGGATGAAACAACATTGCTTTGGCTCTCACACGGAGAAGAAAAAAGTTTGAAGTTATCTACAGTTTCACGACTTCTCCCTGGACAAAGAACTGTGAGTCTTAGTTAACAAGATGTATATAAATGTTAAATTGATTTCAATTTTGAAACTTACAAACTTATATATGGTTGTAATTAATACATAGGCTGTTTTTCGAAGATATTTACGTCCAGAAAAAGATTACTTGTCATTTTCTCTTATATATCACAACGGAGATAGATCTCTTGACCTGGTTAGTAAATAAAATAACTTTTCTCTTCTATTTAAACGCTTAGAAAATCAATTATTATTATTATAACTTCATCTTTACACTCCACAGATTTGCAAGGACAAAGCAGAGACAGAGGTTTGGTTTACAGGACTTAAGTCTTTAATTAGAAAAAACCATAACAAGCATGCTAGAAGTGAGATCCCTGAGGTGTGTGCGTGTGTGTGTGAATTTTTAATTATATACATATATATCATACAGTCTACATATCTTTAATTAATATGTGATTGTAACTCATTTTGATCAGATACATGACAGTGATATTGTCTCCACTGGTCGTCCTTCAACTGCATCAGTAGAATTTATACCAAACAATACTCGCAGAGGAAGAACATCCATTGATTTAGGACCCCGTCACAACTCTCCAATTCATCACAGAGACTCAGATGTCGCTTCGGAACGTGTAAGCATGCTAAGACCAAGCACTGATGGTTTTCGGATTAGTATCTCAAGTACACCAAGTTGTTCTAGTGGAGGGTCTGGTCCTGATGACATTGAGTCTTTAGGTGATGTTTATGTCTGGGGTGAAGTTTGGAGTGACGGGGTATCACTACCACACAATGGAACCATGAACTCAAAAACCGTGAGAACTGATGTACTGATTCCAAGACCTTTAGAATCAAACGTTGTTCTTGATGTTCATCAGATTGCTTGCGGCGTAAGGCACATCTCTCTTGTGACAAGGCAAGGTGAAGTGTTTACATGGGGAGAAGAAGCTGGGGGAAGGCTTGGACATGGTATTCAAGTCGATGTTAGTCGTCCAAAACTTGTTGAGTTTCTTGCTTTGACCAACGTTGACTTTGTTGCTTGTGGAGAGTATCATACTTGTGCTGTATCCACCGCTGGAGATTTGTACACTTGGGGAGATGGAATCCACAATGTTGGACTATTAGGACATGGTAGTGATCTTAGTCACTGGATACCAAAAAGAGTATCTGGTCCTGTCGAAGGACTTCAGGTCTTGTCTGTCGCTTGTGGCACGTGGCATTCTGCGCTAGCAACTGCTAATGGGAAGCTATTCACTTTTGGTGATGGAGCGTTTGGTGTTCTTGGACATGGTGATAGAGAGAGTGTTTCATATCCTAAAGAAGTGAAAATGTTGAGTGGCCTTAAAACCATGAAGGTAGCTTGCGGCGTGTGGCATACAGTGGCTATAGTGGAGGTTATCAATCAGACCGGTACGAGTATATCATCAAGAAAGTTGTTTACATGGGGTGATGGTGATAAAAACAGGTTAGGACATGGGAACAAAGAGACTTACCTGATTCCAACTTGTGTCTCTTCACTAATTGACTACAACTTCCAACAAATAGCTTGTGGTGATACATTGACAGTTGCACTCACTACCTCAGGACATGTTTTTACCATGGGAGGAACTTCTTATGGTCAGCTCGGTAGCTCTAACTCAGATGGTAAATTACCTTGTTTAGTTCAAGATCGATTGGTCGGTGAATTCGTTGAAGAAATCGCTAGTGGAGACCATCATGTTGCGGTGTTGACATCTAGAAATGAAGTCTTCACTTGGGGAAAAGGCTCTAATGGAAGACTAGGACATGGTGACACTGATGATCGGAAAACGCCAACATTAGTTGAAGCTCTAAAAGAGAGGCACGTGAAAAGCATATCATGTGGCTCTAACTTCACGTCAAGCATATGCATCCATAAGTGGGTCTCTGGAGCTGATCAATCAGTTTGCTCCGGTTGTCGTCAACCATTCGGTTTTACGAGAAAGAGACATAACTGTTATAACTGTGGTTTAGTGCACTGTCATGCTTGTAGTTCCAAGAAAGCTTTGAAGGCAGCACTTGCTCCAACTCCAGGGAAGCCACATCGAGTATGTGATGCTTGTTACGCTAAACTAAAAGCTGGGGATTATATCTCTAATAACCCTGCTAATAGATATAACACAACTCCTGGCGCGGTACGACCAGTCAGAGAAACAAGGTCGTCAAGGGTGTTATTGACCCCAAAAACTGAACCAGTCAAGTACTCTGAAGTTAGGTCATCAAGATCTGAATCTTCTATTGTCAGATCCTCACAAGTCCCAGCTCTTCAACAACTTAAAGATGTTGCGTTCCCGAGCTCTCTTAGCGCTATTCATAATGCTTGTAAACCAAATTTAACATCAAGAAGAGGATCAAGCCCTCCACGCACTTCTGGATTTTCTAGGAGCGTGGTTGATAATTTGAAGAAGACAAGCGGTAAAATAAACCAAGAAATGACAAAATTGCAGAGCCAGGTTTGTAATATTATTTCAAATTCTCAGATTTTTTTTCATAAAAGATTTTAATCTAACACACTAGAGAAAAATCTTGTCCACTACTTTCAGGTTAGAAAACTGAAACAGAAGTGTGATAGTCAAGGCGTAGAGATCCAAAGATTAAGGAAAACAGCAAGAGAAGCTTCTGAATTAGCTATAAGGCATTCTTCAAAGCATAAAGCAGCAACAGAGGTCATGAAATCTGTGGCTGAACATGTAAGTTTCTTATCATGGATCATAAAAACAAAAATGCTCAAAAGAATTATCAACTAAATGAGTCATTTATTTAATTGGCCATTCTTTCATTTTATAGTTGAGAGAGTTAAAGGAGAAACTACCCCCTGAAGTATCTAAATGTGAAGCTTTTGAGTCTATGAATTCTCAAGCTGAAGCCTATCTAAATGCGAGCGAAGCAGCTGAAACATCTCTAGACACAACCCTTTCTGAAAACTCACATGACCAAAACATAGAAGAACAATCATCATCTAATGGAGGTGCCATGATGTCTCAAGAACCTTCAAACACAACAAATATAAATCCTCACCCGTCGGATACAAGGCCACAAACAGAAGCTTCTTCATCACCATCAAAATCAGGAGGCAAGGAGCTTATCGAACAATTTGAGCCTGGAGTTTATGTTACTTATGTATTGCACAAAAATGGTGGGAAGATCTTTAGAAGAGTTAGATTCAGGTACTTTAACTGCATAAAACTTTCTCTCATCTCCGTCTAGATTTTGTAAGCCATTTGCTACCTTTGCAGTAAACGGAGATTTGATGAGCATCAAGCCGAAGAATGGTGGAATAGCAAAAAAGATAGGCTGCTTAAGAATTATAGTCATCAGGTTTCATCATCAAGTCCTATGGCTACTGAGTCAGTTCCTACACCATCTTCAGTTCAACCACCAGCTTCGCCTACACAGCCAAATTCTGATGATCAAGGAGGGGGTTCAAAATAAGTTCTTGAAAGCTAGTTATGTGTATACTAGTAATTGACTTAATAGATTGGAGAACAAGGCATAATTGGATGTCACTAGTGTAGATCTTAGTAACCCAAAATATATACAAAGATTTAAATGTTTATTTGCAGTCAAGATTCACGGTTTTTTAGAGCATCTAGGCTTTAAACATGAATTTCTTAGGTGGGAACCAAAAAGTTCCCTGTTCCTTTTTGGCAACTTTTTATGGTTTAGTACAGGATTTTTAACGTTAAACTAAAACCCCTCAGATAAATTTGTTTTAGGTAAAACTCATAAACTAACTATTTAACGGAGACTTCCAAACTAATTTTACTTTATGGATTAAATCTTGTGTCTACAGTGTCACTACCAATAAATCTTTAATTTAGGAGATTTTACATTAATTAAACATAGTTAAGGGGTTTTACTACTAACAATTTTTAAAATGTAAAAAATCAAAAATATAATAAAAACTAGTAACTTAATTTTTTAAATTAACATTTTAAAAAATTTCTGTAAATATGAGTCTAATTTATTTTAAAATCAACATTATATATGTATAAATTAAAAATGTCAAAAACTGAAAATACAATAAAAATTATCGAAACAGATCGTAGAGCCAAATCAAACTTTAATCCCAAAAAACTGATTTGGAGCTAACCTTAACTCAAGGAGAAGTGCCAACCATGTAGGCCTTGCATTCATCCCAAAAGTAACGAAACAGATTCGCGGTACTTTCCCAATCTTCAGTAATCAGATAATCCTTTGTGTGATCAAAATGTCAACGAAACCATTGACCCCCTGGAGAACTCGAGCGAGTTATCCTGCGGCCTGCTTCACAAATTTCTTTCGTCCCAAAATAGAGGCCAGTGAAGGACCAGCGTCAGATTTACTCTATTCATTTATTAGAATGATAATTGCGGGTTTTAGCTCCCACATTTAAAATAAATATATCTCATTTTGCATATTTATTTGAAGTGCTAATTTTGAAACGGTTAGTTACTATTTTTAGAGAATTAGTTTATCTTTAGTGCTGGTCAAAAGAATCACTACTACTGGTAAATTTACAGATAATTATTATATTTTGTGGTTTTATATTTTCAAAAACATTTATTTTTCATAAATTTTAAAAATTTTAATTGAAAATTTAAGTTATTAATCTTTAGATAATGTTATTATATTTTTACATATTTTTGATTTTTGGATTTATAGATCTTTAATTGTAAATACATAGTTTTTACATAATTTCATTATATTTCTGGTTTCTTACATTTTTAATTATACATATATAGTGTTGATTTTAAAACAAATCATATTCACCTATTTGTGTAAATTTTGAAAATACTAGTTTTGAAAATTTAGACTGCGTCACTCTTGACCATGTTATCAACCAGTTTCTCAGCATCTTCCTCAGACCTTCCCAAGAAGAACCTATTGCTAGCAGTATCCAATCTTGCTCTGTACTTAGGAAAAGCGCCCATGTAGAATATGCTCAGCAAACTCTCCTTGGAGAAACCATGGTGTGGGCATTGAGCTTAGTAGCTCTTGAATCTCTCCCATGCTTCACTGAAATCTTCCAGGTTCTTCTGCTGGAAACTGGAGATCTCATTCCTAAGCTTAGCGGTTCTTGAAGTAGAGAAGAATTTCTCCAAGAATGCTCTCTTGTAGTCATCTCAAGTGGTGATAGAGTCGCTGGGTAGAGACTTCTTCCACTGATGTGCCTTATCTCCCAAAGAGAAAGGGAATAGCTTGAGCTTGAAGGCATCCTCAGACACACCATTGGTCGTTGAAAATCCACAGTAGCTACCAAACTTGTCCAAGTGGTCAAATGGGTATTCTACAGACAAGCCATGATACTTGTTGTTCTCGATCACGTTGAGGAATCCTGGTTTGACCTCAAAGTTGTTGGCCTCCACAGCTGGTGTTCTGATTCCCAACCTATTACCATGAAGGTTTAGGCGGTCATAGGTACCAATGGGGCGAGCTGGGCGGGCTGGGTGCACTGGTGGGTGCTGCACATGGTTGTTAACTCCTTTTGGTGGGATTTCCATGTACGTATCCAACCTCTGATGTTGAGCTTGTTGCTCTGTTTGTTTTCTCTGTCTTGTTATCTCTCTTTCAAACGCCCGGATATCTGAAACGCTTGGAACAAGGTTTGTGGTGTCTTTACTCCTCAATTTCATACACCTGAAAGCCAAATGGAGATGAAGATCAAGAATCAGTAACAAAATAAAAGAAAAATGACTTAGTCTCAAACAAGTGACTAAATCTCAATGGTTAAATCTACTCGGAATTTGGCAACAACGCCAATTTGAAGTTAGGAGTTTTCAAGGCTTCTAAGACAAATAATGTAGTATAAAAGATTGTTGAACTAGTTCTGAGGGATATCAAAGCACCAAGAATGCAATTACTAACTTGATCTAAGTGAAACCAATGATTTAGATGATTTTAAACTACTACTAATACTAGAAAGCAATAAGAGAATGATACTTTCTTGACTAAGGGAAAAGAGAACTCATGGGCATAGGGATTAAACCGTGGATGATCAAATTTTGAACTAGGTATGGCAAATGATCAATCAAACTATCGACCTTAAGCCTAGACACAATTCTAAACAAGCTCTATGTCTAGATGAATTCTCTTTGCTAACATATCTCAAACATCAAATGTCTTTGGTTGAATAATATGAAAGCAATCATTACTAACAAGTCTATTAGCTATCTTAGCACCTTTAACAACAAATGTCTTTGACAAAGTATACTAAAAGCCTATGAGAGTTGTCTCAGGCATTTCATCAAACACCTTTTGGTGGGAAATGCCTATTGATCAACTTTTGAGTGGCCAACTCAGAAGATGCATTATGAATACTCTACGAGCAAGGAACAAGAATGATATACACTAAAACAACGTAGAACAAACCTAATCACCCTAACCCATGAATTCAAAAGGTGATTACTCACTAATCTCCATGATTCCTCTTAAACCCATATTGGATTTCAGATTAATCATGTAGAGAAAAAGATAAGAAATCAACAAGAACACAATATGAAAGCAATGAAATCTGAATCAAAAGAAGTTTTTACTAGTTGTTCTCTAAAAAAGAGATAATATGCCTCGTAGGCTACAAAAGGGTACTTAAACTTAGGTTTAGAAAATGTAAAAACATGAAACAAATGACCAAAAGGTCCCTAAAATAACACAAGTTTTCGACCAAACAAATGACGCGGAGCGACCTCGAACGTCGCTCCAAGAGGTCGCTTTGGCTGGGAGCGACCTATGGACATCGCTCCGAGACGTCGCTCTGAGAGGTCGCTCCAGGATGCTTGAACATGGTGGATATGCCTCTAGTAAATTGGTCATAACTCCTTCATTACATCTTCAAATGACTTGAAACCACTTCCATTAGAAAGCTTAATCAATTTTTCTGTGTCTACACAAAATCTTAGAAACAGAAATTTTCTTTAAAGGCTCCATTCATGCTCATCTTTCACCTCTTTTTGGATCACAATGCTCCCAAACATCTCAAATCACTCCATGGCACACTCCAACACCTGATAAAGACTCATGTATGCAAAATGCAACCTAAAAATGACTAAATCCTAGTCTATATGATCAAAATGCACATGGATGAATGGGTGAAACAATGAAAATATGCAAGACATCACCTCAATGCTAAGGAGAAAATCGTGAGGTTGAGAGCTTCGCTTGAACATGAAGTAGCTAAGGTATCTCCATCTTATCGGCTGATGCTGAGACTTAGACAAGAGCTTGCAACTGCGCTTAGAGAGGAGGAGCTATTTTAGTGACAAAAATGTAGGGAGGAATGGCTAAAAGCTGGAGACCGCAATACAAAGTACTTTCACAACTGCGTTTAGGGACGTAGGATCCAAAACAAAATTCTAATGTTACTAGATAACTCTGACCAAGAACATTTCTCGGAAGGGGCTAAGGGTAACATCGCCGTGGATTTCTTCAGAGATTTATTCACAAGTTCCAACCCTTACGACTTGGATATTTGTTTCATGGCTTCAACAGCAGAGTCACAAATGCGATGAATGTGCGCCTGACTGCCCCAATATCTTCTGAAGAGATCAAAGCTGCAGTTTTCAACGTGAAAGGGAGTAGCGCCCCAAGGGAAGACATATTAACTGGAATATTTTATCAAAATTTCTGGCATGTGGTAGGTTCTTCACTATCATAAAAAATATCTCAGTTCTTCAATTCAGAAATCATGCTGGAGGGTTGGAATCATACTCAGCTAAGCCTTCTTCCCAAAGTCACTAAACCAACGAGAATGAAGGACATGCATCCCATCAGCCTTTGTTCAGTCCAGTATAAGATAATTTCTAAAATCTTATGTAATAGGCTGAAGCTGATTCTTCCAGAAATCATCTTAGAGACGTAGGGAGCTTTCGTCTCAGGCCGGCTTATCTCAAATAACATTACATAGCACATGAGTTAGTTCACAGTCTATGCACTAATGAAAAAACCGCGACGGACTGGATGGCTATTAAAACCGACATGTCTAAGGCTTACGACAGAGTCGAGTTGAACTTCTTGGAGGTTCTGATGGAGCGAATGGGCTTTGATATGATCTGGATACGATGGATCATGGCATGTGTCAACTCTGTCACTTTCTCTGTGCTGCTCAAAGGGAACTCACACGGGTTTATGAGACCGGAACGTGGCATCCAACTAGGCGATCCCCTTTCACCATTTCTTTTTATCCTCTGTGCCGAGGGTTTAATGAGCAGACTGAATGCCTCAGAAACCTCTGGTCGCTTGCATGGCATTAAACTAGCAGAGAGATCCCCCTCAGTTCACCATCTATTGTTCGCCGATGATAGCCTTCTCTTGTATAAATCATCTCCATCAGAGGCCGAGGAGATTATGAGATGCATTGAGCTTTATGGAGAGGCCTCAAGACAAAGGGTTATATATCAAAAATCATTCGATAATATTTGGCTCAAAGGTTGCAGAAGAAACAAAAAAACTGGTAC